TGATAATGTTAGTAAAAACCTAACGCATTTTTTATACGTAGATAATAAAGACATAATTATCTTAATCGATACGAATGATTTTTATGGAATTTTTCAGCCATTTTTTGCTCTTTTAACTATGGATCAAATGTCTTAGATCTATAATTGATTAGATTTTTGTATCATTTTCTTATCAGCAATTTTACTTCTCAAAGCAATTTGTTATGATTGTGGAAGCACGACAATATTGCCAAGAAAACCATAGTTAAAGCGCATCTTACATCACAATAAAATTGATGACTATGATGTTTCTATTATTTACTTTAGATAAGTCATGCTTATGAGTTTTTTTGTATATTTTTAAAGCTATTATTCTTGTAAATTATACAAATTATTATTTTGAACGAGAGACTAGTTTGTTAAATGAAAAGATTTTAATGTCACTATTAAGAAGTAATTAGCACTATCAAAACTGGATGGAATGTGTCTTATACACATTAAATATACAGAATTGGAATTAAAACGAAATTTAGTATAATTGTCCTATATTTCAAGAATTTTTGAATATCATCTAAAAATATGTTTAGTTATTATAAATCTTATCATTTGCTTTTTTAAATAATTATACGTTCAAATAAATACGCGCATTATATTATGATATTGTCAGTATTTACGCAATCTTTAATACCAAAAATGATATAAAAATATTTCTTTTATATCTAAATGTAGTCTTTAAACTAATTTTACTTATTGTTAATTAACTTTTACTTTCCCGGCTGTTATAAAAAAATGGAAAGTATGGCAAAATATGACCCCACCAAATGTTTACCAAATGGTTACATTTTTGGACTTAGGATACATTGAAACGTCGAGAAATTCAAAATAATTCGGGGGTAATTTCTGTATGTATGAATGTTACTGTGGGGGGGGCACGATTTTGTTCACCCTCGTGTGCTTTTTGTCGAAAATTTCTGAAATTTTGTAGGGAGGTTTGTTTATTAGGCGGATTGATGCTATTAAATTTTGGTGGTTAAAAGTCGACGGGGTGGAGAGATAATGAGGATCGTGTGTATCTCCATTAGGGTAGGACTTAATAACGATTTTACTCGTTATTAGCATTTACAATTTATTATAGAACTCATCCCTGCCTCAAAATTAAGGTTTTTGCCATTTTATAATAATTAAAAATATAAAAAGCTTTTAAACAAAATATGATAACAGATGGTGCCACCAAAGTTTAAATGTTGCCGGGAAATTGAGCAACTCGTTGTTGGTTTATTTATACACAATTGCTGTTAGGATTTTATGAAATCCTAACAGCAATTGTGACGACAAAAATGACGTTTACAACTAAGAGATCAGCAAACATCTTATTTGGAAGAAGGACTCCACGTTCATCATTTGCCAAAATAATTATAGAAACAAATTATTTAGGAATAATTATAATTAAAAATGATATATCTAAAATCACATTTAAATTTGTAAATGAATGTTATTCTATTCTTATATGATAGGAAAATCTAATTTTATGGAGAACAACATTAAGATATTAAAATAAATGTTTGGTTTGTCCAGTAGATTTAATATTTTAACAAATGAATTCATTATAAACTAATGATATTTTAAGATTATTACTCTAAAATGTCTGTATACAAAAATTAATAGATATTTAATTTAATTTAATTGCTGGTAAATTACTTGATAGTGTTATTATTTACTATTTCGATTTAATTATTAATCTAATAGAAAAATTATCTAGGAGCCGAGAGAATCTTATTTATTTATTTTTGTTATCATTTTTTGAGAAATAAATAAATTTTTAACGAATTGTCTCATTCCTAAAATTTTCCAGAATAGCTTCATTTACTAATTATGAAAATTTTCAAGCAAACGGATTCATCCAAAAATTACATTTTCCTCGAATAATATAAATAATATTCTAAGCTTTGAAGTATTTGATTTAAATCTTGTTTACTAGAATCTCGAAAGCTCCTTTATATTCTATTTTCTGTGCTAGAACTTCAGTTTCCGTTTTGTATTAAATCTAGCTCCTCAATTCGACTTCTATCTACTATAGGTCGTTTCCTATGTACTATACAATAAATTCGACTGCTGCTGTGAAGAAGTTCATTCCCTTCCTTTTATGGCTATGAAAATTTCTCTTTGTAAAATACTCGTAAGAAACTGATATATCACTGCCAGATTTTATATACTGTCTTCTTATATTCTTATTTTTAAAACGGGTGCATATTTAAAATTGATTGTAGACCTATATACTTGCATCTGTATATAAATTTTCCTTTTAATGTGTATTTTCCCCCTAATTAGTTGATTTGAATATTTTAAATAAGTAAACTATAAGTAGACGACAATAATTAAAGTATATATTTTAGTAAATAATAACAATATCAACAAGTACACTTCACTTGCTCAAGAAATAAAACAGATGTGGAGGAAGGATATGGTATTTATTGTACCTGTTGGCCTATCTTCTACCGGTCTATCTTCTACCTTCTACTGGTGTTATACCACATACACTATACAAAAGTCTAGAAACATTAAACCTTAATAAGAACATATACATAGCACTACAGAAAGTTGCGATATTAAACACATTACATTGTGAGGAAGTTTCTAAACGTTGACACATACACCAATATTACAGCTTAACACTATAGTTGTCGAATCTTTAACGTAATTTTGCATTTTTTCTTTTTATGCTTCTGTCAACGGATCGAGGTAAATAAAAACTAACAGCATTATCCTTTTTCATAGAGATTTAAAATTGGTTTCTGATATGACTTTTCGGCAAGCTAGATCTCGAAAACGATACGGAATTTAAGCACATTTATGAGAATTTTAAGCGTATTTCTGACCTAGAATCTATTCCTAAAATATTAGTACGGAGTTTCTTTACATTCTGTATATATTTATACACACAAGGATGCAACTAGCGAGACAGAGAGGCAAGTATCCCGGCTACCAAGTAAGGGGGCACCGAGAAGAAAGGGTGTGTCAGGGAAAAGGTAGCGCGAACTGACTCATTCTTGTCCTCGACGTCCCAAATTTCCGGAACAAGAGAGGGGCACCAGTATTTTAGTTTGCCCCGGGTGACAGGGAGACGAGTTGAGCTCTGATATATATATTATATAGAATTGTATATAATAGATAAAATTTAATAGACGTTATATTTATTTCATATTCTGTAATAACGTTTTTACATCTTCACACAAAGATCGATTTAATAAACTTTTATATTTCTCTTCAAATTTTAAATTGAAAAACGTACGCATTTCAGACAGAGATATTCGTCAACCAGTTTTTAATGTAAATTATAATTGAATATTAAGAGCTATATCGATAAATATACGGTGATTTTTTTAAAAACACTAATTAAAATAAATTCTTATTATTCAAACTAATACTTTTTAAAAATCCAATATTATTTGTTAACGTTATTTTCGACATATTTTTATAATGCAGTATGAACATCTTGTGGTTGTCATTAATTTAAAAAACATAATAAATAAATTCAAAGTAAAAAAAATAAAACGATAAGAAGTTTAATATAATTTTATATGTTCTGCTATGGTAACGCTCTAGATATTAAAAATAAAACAAAGATAAAATAATGTTTTGCTTCTCTTAATAATTTAAACAGTTTGCAATATGGCGAGAGTAAAATCTCTAATAGTTTTGGGATCGTTGTAGAGTGATAATAACTTGGAATTGTTGTACATTACTTTCGAGTTTAGCTAGGATACTCGTGACACACAATCACATCCGAATTTGTTGTCATGTCGACATTACTCCTATAGAAAGTCACCTTGGATCCAAATGACAAAGTGAAATTGACAGTGAAATAAGTTCTCGACAAACGTAATAAAATACAAGTTAAGAGTGAAACAAATTGTAGACCAGATGATGATTTGAAATTTGTTGATATGTTGATGTTATGAAAATTTTTTTTCAGATAATATTCATTCCTAAACTTTATTTCAAAAAATTTCTTACAAAAATCATATTTTTTTTTTTAAATTCTTATTTAAAATTTTGTTTATGTCTTTGAAAATTATATTTTAAAAATGATTTTAAAAAGTCTTGATTCTAAACAACAAATTCGAACTTATCTATGAAGGTGGATGCGGTCAAGCGTTAGCATACCGCTCAGGGGATCCGAGATCGAATCTGGGAAAGTCGAAAACCTTAGAAACTTTTCGGTAGGTGGTCCGTCCCGAATAGCTCGAACCCCTTTCCTTATTATCCGGCCCCCATTATGGACCTGGCTGAACCCATAATGGGTCTTTCCCTTTTAGTTTCTACAGGGCGAAAACAGTAAAAATTTATCTATGTTAGAAAATATTATTAAATGTGCAATATAAATTTTAATTCTTATTTTAAATTATTAAGAATATTTTTATTAAATTTAATAATTGTAAAAAATTTAACAACTGTAGTGTTAAAAAAAACCAAAGAATTAAATATGTACTCTACTAACATTGAAACGTAGAGACATTATTTAAATTTATAAACGTGAAGAAAGACATAAACAAAATTCTGATAAGGAAAAGAATATTTATAAATATGGTATTAAAAAAAATAAATAAATATTCCATCAAAACTTTTAACTTAATTTATTGTAATGAAATAATTTCGAAATAAATATTTTATTTGCCAATACATTTTTTTCATCAAAATGACTCCGTTAGAAATAAAACAAATAAACAAAACTGATAAGAAACTACGTTATAAACAGCAAATAATCCTTAAAAATATTCTTAAGATTCTATTTAAATTGCTTACGATTATTTCTGCTTTGTTTAATTAATAAATTTTATCTTAAATGATAGACTCTGTATGCATATTTACATTGAGAAAACCCATTTTCTCAATGTAAATATGAAACCGATTATCTAGAGATATTCGGTTTTTTTTATGATATCTGAAATCAGTTCAGAAAGGCTTTATATACAATCTCGATTAAGTTGCCCCCTTTGACTTGGTGTCGTTTATTTACTTCCGGTGTCTATACTTCGATCAATTTGGCCGTCTGTTCGCGCCCTTAACTATTGAATGGACCCTAAAAGACACCTGGTGCTCACGTGACTATTCCCGTCTTACCCTCGACGAGAATTGAACTTCCCCTGTTTTTGTTAGAAGTTATACTTTACTTTCTTTAGCGTAGGGGTGTGTGTAGCGCCTACGAGAACAATATTAGTAAATCTTGGAAGAGACACAAAGACTAGTTTTCCACAACGCAGGTAACTTTTATATTAATAATCCATAAAAGTATTTAATTTTTGTAATGAAATGAATATAATTTGACTGTCAAATGTTATATCAAATAACTGTTTTGCCGGATATTTCACTCTTAAAATAAAGGAAATAATTAAGGAACATTTCCTTTTAAACCATAAATAGTAATAATTTAGTTTTTAAAAGTGGAATTTATGAACGAAAAAAATGAATTGGCATTTTAATTAATTAAAATCTCAATTTTATAATAAACAAATTACAGTTACAAACTCTAATTGTAATTAACTTTAACGTTAGAATTTTATATTAATATCATGTAAATTAATAGTAAAATCTCACCGGAGTCGTTGAACAACTTGTAAATATCGATGTATAATATTAAATGATACGCGAGTACGTGTCTGTATTAATAATTCCACTTCGAAATTAACGATCTATTCATGTTTAGAAATATTTTTGTCACAGTATATAAAGATGACGAGTCACTGTTTAGAGAATAGGCACTAAGGACGTAAGTAGCCATGTTGTTCGCTTAATACATTTCTGTAGCGATATTTTATAAATCGTTTAATGTTTTATATTAAAAAATTTGCATAATAAACACAAATTTATTACTATTAGTTTTATCGTTAATTAAAATTTTTTTAATGTGTTAAACATCTCTACTTTTTGTCTGTCTTCATAAAGAATTACACAGATCTATTTTAGCTTGTATCTATTGTATTTTTTTAGAAGTAAAAGTATTAAAATATTCGTTTTTCCGCTAGAAAAAAGTTTTATTACTTTCTTAAAGTTGAAAAAACAAAAATAAAATAAACTATATTCCCTAGAATTAGTCATTGTGAATAAAAATCACGTCTCGTTGTATTGGATCTTGCAGTTGCTTAATGCGTGTTCTTCGAATTCCTTTCAAACGTAAACGCAAGTTTTAAAATGAGGTTTTGTTTTACTTGTGTTTTCAGCTTTAACGGGAGAATTTTTTTTTCTTTTTAATACTCCCTATTAAAAAAGAATTCAAATTTTGCTAAAAATTGAGAGAATAGAATGTGAACTAGTGTTAAGATAATATGAATTGTATATTTAATAGTATCGATTCGAAAATCAAAATTGTAAATTCTATCAATAAATCGGAAGAATTTATTACAAGAATGAGGGGAGATTCTTAGAGTTTGGGCGAAATCGAATTTGCAGCAGTAGATCGATAAATGGGGAAGAGATGGAAGAAAGGTTGTCGTAAAGGCAAAAACATTTTGATAAATTTGTTTGCAACACAGGCAGGGCCTGAGTCACGAGTTGAATTTCGTATACAGATCGTGAACTTTTTATTTATTTTATTTCTCGTTGATTTACTCCAATTTCTTCTCAATATTGAGTCCATAAAATATTTTAATACTAAATAATAGTTATTCGTATTTATTATTATAAAATTTTACGAAATTTTATAAACGAAAATTTTAATATTGAAAAAAAATAATTAAATCATTAGACTAATTATTAAAACTAATATTAGATAATCATATAATTTAGAGTTAATAATAATATAAATATTTGTAAGTCCATATAGTATCAATATGGAATAATTGGATTGTTTATATTAAATTAAAATTATGCAAGTCATAGTCTTCGTTCATCCCTTTCCCTCAGATGTCTGATCTTGACATGCTAGCTCAAAACAAGGGTTATCTCCTCATTTAACTATAACTTTTTAAAAAATCTTTCTAACCAATTCGTCTACTCTTCTAACCACATGTCCAAACCACTAAAGTCTATTTTTCACAAGCTTCTCCCTAATCTCCATCACTAATAAGTTAATTTGTACTCATTTTTAATCCTATCATCTAAGGAAACTAATTCTACATATAAATCTGAGGATTTTCATTTCTTCTATATGCATTTTTTTTAATCTGAGATTTCTTTATTTTCCACATTCAAATACATACAGCATTGTAGTCCTAACAACAGTCTTATAAAACTTTCCTTTTTAATCTAACTGGTATTCCTCCATATATCACCCCACTTGGATTCTGCCACTTTTGTCATTCTACATCTATTTCTTAACGCTTCAAAAACCTCTGCTTGTTTTCAATCGTAGTCTTTGGTTTCTATTTGTTAACACTTACCCTGCTAGTCCAGTTGTTTAAAATGCACATTCATTTAGAAGCTTATTAGAGTATTTCATTTATCTACTCTTCACAGTTTTTCCTTTCACTAATATCTTATCCTCTTCTTTTCAGTAAACTCATCTCTTCTGTATCTTTACGTTTTCTTTTCCCAAGCCTTGCTATTCTTTACACGACCTTTATACCTTAGAACAGTGGTTCTTAACCAGTGTTCCGTGAACCTACCTCGAGTATTCTACGAAAGAAAAGATTTTAAAGTTTTTATTCAAATTTATTCCCATTGCTATATTCGTAGACAATTCCATGTTTTTATTTTATTCAATATATTAAAGTTTATTAGTTTATTGCTTCATTGTTTCCTGAGAATAGTAAACATGGAATTGCTTATCAATTTTTGAATATATTGATGATAATGCTCCATGTAATAAAAGGTATATAAATGGTGTTCCGTTGCCTGAAATGTTGAGAACCACTGCCTTAGAAACTAATTTCCTATATTTTATCTAATTATATATATATATTGTACTAGCTACTTTTTCTTCGTCTTTTTCTGTTTTATACTCTAAATTACTGCTGCTGTTTTTATTCGGCTCGAATTTTTGACAGAACTGTTTCTTCTTTCTAATTTCCTCCTGAACTTCCTCATTCTACCACAATGTTTCCTTATCTACTCTATTTACTCTTATTTTTATGATACCCAAAATAATTTCTATATTTCCTAACCTTTTGAAACAACAGTATTTCATTATCAATGCCCCGATGGCCGAATAGATAAAACAGTGGTTTTATCTATTCTATTTTACCAGTGTTCAGTGGTTTAGTTGGTCGCGGGTTTGCACCTCGCCAACGATCTGACGCGTTTTTTTTTCGGGTTTTCTTCTGCATGACGTGCACTCTCCCATTTTGCCATCGTGTCAGCAGTTTTATTCACGGAATAAATACTATTCGATCCTACTTGTATACTTTCCGCCAACCTACACACATAATAGAAGCGACCTCCATCACGAGACTTGGACTGATCCGATCTTACAGATTGATCCATCTGAAACGAAAAATATATGCACCCCTGGTCCCGTTCCTCACCACCTCGTCTCCATTGTGAATCTGGCCAAACCCACGATGGGTATGGAAAAGTCCTGTTAGTGCTCAGTGTGGAGAGTCAAAAAATTTTTCCAAATCATATTCACGATACTTCTATAAATGAACTTGTAAACTATATAATGGGTTATCAATCAATCAATACTTTATTTGACGTAGGAATTAAAATTAAAGTAAATAATATCCGACAAATGGAACCGGAAGTGGTCCGGATTTCTAGATTTTCCGGTTTTTTCCTGTACACAGGCTAAATATATACTTTAAAACAAAATAAACAATGAAAAGTAATAAACAAAACTGTTTTTAATACATAGTATGCCAGCAGTCACACTAGAAGACATAATGATGCGAACTACGACTATACTACAAAACTCAAGACTATCGAGAAATTCGGTATTATTGAAAACCCGCATCCGGATAGTTGGTCCCATACTGTATTTATATACAGTGGACTTGCAGAGAATCTTGTAGCAATCGTTTGTAGGAAGACAGCCCATACTAAAAAAATTCTGGTGTAAATACTGAAAATTTTTACAAGATAAAAGGGGATGCAGAGTCGAGTACGGTTTTGACACGCCTCACATGTAGCTGGATATAAAAAAAGTTATTTTTTAATGTAAATTTAGTCTCACTTGAAGCATTGTATAGTTTCATAACGTAACTTAAAGTGTAATTAGTATTGTCGAGACTTGGATGAATATATCTAGTGGAAAGTCGAAGCGTTAATTTTCTCTTGATCTTGCTGCATAGTGTTGCATCCACCATAAATTGACATGTGGTATTAGGTGTGCATTAGACAATATACACACATTAAATCCGGACAATATCATTGAATACAAACTGCTGAACCAGTCGCTATTTCTACAATTGACTTTTTGAATTATCCGAATCTTCGAAACTTTGAAGTTCTAGCCAATGTTCGTGATAAATTTCCGAGTAATCTAAATAAATTTCGTCTGGTTTATTTTACTGGATTTTTAAGTAAAGAATTAGTATATAGTCTATTATATTTTAACCCTAAGTAAATTATAAAGTATTAAACTTTCTGTTAACGAATATTAATTATTTCTATACAAATTGAAATGAAAGTGACTCGTGTATTTCTGTTTTTGACACTGATTTTCTTTTCAACCAGAATGTTCTAGTTGGAAATAAAACGAAAAGAAAGTTTAGTAAGAAACAAATTAACTTTTTTAAAAATAAAAGTAGAATCTTTTCGTCTGATTTTAGTAATATGGAAAACCCAGCTTTATGGGAGAATATCAATTCATCGAATATCAAAGATCATTTTAAAACAAGTTGAGTGATTTCAAAAATAACCTTTTTATACGTAAATACTGTATACTGGGGATGCAAAAATAGGCGTACAACCATAAATCTGAGAAATACAGATGTTTAGTGTTCATTATTATTGGGATTCAATTTGAAAAAACTGTAGACCTATAAATTCACACTGTTGTCCATCTGTCTATCTGTCCTTAACCTCGAGAACAGAGTTAGATAGATGAAAGACGAGACCAGATATGGTAAGCCCGATTAATTATATACAAACTTCTGGCAAAAACCGGAAGTTACGTTATTTCAATTCAAAAATTTTTACCTGAAAGATGTTAAATAGATGATCTGTTGTTAAAGGTAAAGTATAATGTACAGGGGCAAGTCATTAATAATTATCTTTTATTATATTGTATTGTATTTATTAAATTCCATATTTGGTATTTAATTTATGCATAAAAATAAGTGAATAAATGTTTTTTATTCCGTATTTTCTTCATGTTTTTTTTTCATAACAATTGTATACCTACTTTTGTATCCCCTGTATTTATTTTAATCTTTTTTGAAAGAAAAGCGTATAACTCTTTATTTTTTTTAATGCATTTATTTGCTCTTATTTCAATTTATAAGACTAATCTCTTTGCCTAATTAAGAATGTCAAATTAGCCAATATTTTAATGAAGTCAGAGTCGCATTTTCGTTCTACTCTAATGAAACTAATTGAAAGTCTCTAACCGTATTGAAATATAAATTCATTAAAAATATTCAACATTCAAGCATTGAATAGAAAATAACTTATTCTTACACTCGCATCCATCTATCAACTTTTAAAAATATCGATAAACGATTCTGTTAGCTACAGGAGTTAGAAAAATGGAAAAACTTTCTCGAAAGCAAAGATTTGAAGAAAACCATTTATTTCTATTCTTATCTTTGTTTATGCTTTGTGATAAAATTGATATTTTCGTATTTATATTATAAAAAAAAAAAATGATTTTTATTCAATTTTATAGCGTAAATTGATTTGAGATGTTAACATCTCCAATATTCATCATTGAAAATTTGTATTATTCATAAGAAGATTGATCTTGGATTATTTTTCTTGTTTGTATCTGTAATTTTGAAGAGTGTTTTTGGTTTTTTTATGATTATAATGTAATGTGGATGCAATTCTTTTGTAAAAAATTATGATTTTCTAATTTAAAAGTAAGTTTTTTTTAATTTAGAAAACCATAATTAATGTTATTTTCCTCATTTCAACGTTATCTTAATACACAATCTATAAATAAAAGTTAAATGTACGTAGTGTACAACTTAGGAAATTCTAATATTGTTATAAGTAATACTATCTAAAAAGAGTGATATTAGATTCATTTAAACATTAATTTGTTAACTTATATACTTTATAATTTAATGTAAATTTCGTCATTTTTTAAAAACTCATTAGATCTAAACAATTACTCTAAGAAAAATCTAAAACTTCTTGTTAATTTACATATCTTTAAATTAAAAATGGCAAAAAAGAAAATGATCTTGCTGCTTAAAAAATAGCACGTCGTGTATTCTAAATTAAATTATAGGCTGAGAGCACTTTTTTTTTAGTCGAAAAATATGAAAAATTGTAACTCAAAAGTAGCAATATATATTTAAAATTATTCTAAATTTCTTTATTTGAAATTCTTGCTGCATTTTTTCCTGCTTTTAAATACTGTATTGAAAAATTTATCGATTTTCTCTTTCGGTTTTTAGCAAGTTTAGTTTTAGTTAAAAGTTCGAATATTTTCATATAAACGTGACATGTTGCATTACTTTATAAATTTAATGCATATTTTATAATGGATTTCTTCAATGCTACAACTAGAATATCGGTAAAAGCATAAATTAAACAATGAGAAAAGGAGAAATTAAAGCTTATTCACTCAAAATATGCTAATATTTAATCAAAATTCATTTAAAAATATGGACTAATTTGATATTATTCTAATGTCATTTCTAATATAGCTAAACTTTTTCTAGTGTATTTTAATTCGAAGAGATAAATATCGCTAAGAAAGCTTTGGAGCTTTAGGTGTTGCATTAATTACAGTAAGCTCACTGTGGAAAAATTTTAACACAAACAACGATTTAATGTCACAGTTTACTCGGCACGCATATTTTAAAATCGTTTTTCCACAAATTATAATTACTAATCTAGCTTTATAGTTATGTTCTCTGATTATAATGTCAAGTATATAAGCGTGAGGGACATTTCAGTAGGAATCTGACAAGCACAGTAATGAGAAACCCTAAAAAAAATTTAGAATACCTTCCATTATTCAAACAAAAGAAATCTGCGAAGAGAAATTTACATAGTATATACAATTTTTTGATATCTCATTTTGTTTGTATCTGTGTTGTGATAAAAATAGTAAATTGTTCTTTTGCTAGTGGCAGTGTGTAAAATATTGCCGTCATTCTTAATATCGAAAAATATAATAAAAGTGTTTAATATTTAAATTGTAAATCCTTTTAGAATGTGATGGGAATCGACTTCATTTATAATAACCATTTTAAGGAACAATGGAATAATTTTTATACTAAGGAATACTCAAATATAAAATTGTAATATAAACTAATTTGAGATGAAATCATTTTAGATTAAATCAAAGACGAAAACCTTATTTAACAAATTACATATTGTTTTAAATAATATATTATTTATCATAAATTACATACCTTATATATGAGAGAGTAAATATTTAATTTGTACAGTTAATAGTGTAAGATTTAACTTAAATTAATTTACGTAGTAAAAAAAATAAATAATTTAACTTGAAGACCTGATGACAAGGCTATAAAGGCATTAGCCTGCCACTCTGGGGAGCCCAGGAGCGAATCCGGTTGGTAAATCCCAAGAATTTTTCATAGCCTTCACCACCCGGTTGTCTCCATCGTAGGTTTGGACAAATTCTTGGCATTTTTTCCCCTCCTACTTTGGGCATTAAGATAGGGAGAGTTAAATTTAAATTGATGTGCTTTTACGTATAAAGACATTAGTATAAGAGGTTTTCAATCAAAAATTAATTTAAACAAACCACATCAGTAATTTGTATAAATAAAAAAGCTTTTAATATTTAAAATCGTATCAAGATAAACAAATCTTAATACCCTTTCTCTAAGTTTGTTTCCTCTTACATATAATGACACTACGTATGTTAAACCTTTGTATTGATGGCCGAGGCGATCAAGGCCTTGACATCCCGCTCGGGGTAACTCGAAAAAATACCCCAGAAATTCTTCATGAGCGATTCGTCCCAGATGTGTCGGCCCTCACCACTCGGTCGTCTCCATTTGGGCCTAGCCGAATCCACGATATAACTACCCTGGGTTCGGCCAGGCCAAAATGGAGACGGCCGAGCAAGCACTTTTAGTTGCTACAAGATGGAAAGAACAAAAAAATCTTTACATTAGTATAGCGAATACGGGAGTATATTCAGGAGTTTGTTATAACAAATTTTAATAATCGAATTAAATCAATATTTTTTTTCAGATGTTTTTGAGTGCGTGACGAATAAGTAAATTATTTATTTACTTCTTATTTCAGCATCGGTATGTGACCTTTTTTTCTTCTTTTTTTTGTTACAAATTCAATTTAAGTAAAATTTTTTATTTTTTGAAAAATCCATTCTAGTCTAAATTTAATCATATGTAAATTTATGAGAAACTGTTATAAAGCAATGGTTTGCACAACAATATTGAGACAAATAGTACAGCTGCATCGTAATTATTTACAGAATTAAGCATACTTACATACATATTAAATACATATAACCTAAATTTTTTTGATTTTTCCTTCTCTCTCCGAGAATTTTTAGTATAATAACTGGAAAAACTTCATTTCCTAACAGAACTAAAATAATTTATAATTCAATTATAAACTTTCATTTAAATAATTGAATTCTAGTCATTGTTCACTTAACGAAAAAAATTGATAGCAAGCAATCAATAAACCAACATTTAATAAAGTTTTTAACAATTAAATTTCAAAATTTATTGTTTATTTTGACGTTACTGAAACGAAAACTACTTCATATTATCAATTTTTTATTAAAAGTAAATCGTAGTGTTTCAACGTAGTTGTGCTATTGGATAATATATTTTTATTTATTTATTTATCCTTGATTTAAATTTATATGTCTTAAATGTTTTTATTTAGTAGTTTCTAATCACCTTTGTTATTAAAGTTGTTCTAGATATTTTTTTTTCCTATTATAATTGATTATTAAAAGATTTTAATAACGCAGATTTAAACATTTTATTTTCTTTTAGTAAGTTGTAATAAGTATAACTATTGAAAACAAAATTTATGTATAAAATTGATGGAAAATGCTGATCGTAATATTGTTTTTTTTTTTATAAGTTTAAAGGAAAACATTTTATTTTATCTATAAAAATTGTTTGGAATAATTTCGTGAACGTGTTATTTTTATTTTCAGATGCTATCTTTGAATTGATCTCGCTTCTCCTTCTTTCATCATGGCTTTTATTCTGGGATTTTTACTGTTTCTTGTATGTCAAAATATAGGTAATAGTTTTTGATAAGAGAAATTTTTTTCAACTTACACATTGAAAGAAACTTTGATAAAGGAAAAAAAATCTCATTTCCTTTTTGTTTTCAGTTTTTGCAAAGGTTTTGAATGCAACAGAAACGAAAAAGGATCAAAATGCTACAAATATTTGTACTGATCAGGTAAATATTTAACTGTTAAAATACTTTCACGACTCAAAATTTTTAATATATATATAAATAAATGTTTCTATTAGGAAATACTCAATAATAACTGTAGCTTTTTTTCCGAAAAAGGTAAGATTAATTATTAAATTATTTAATTATTGTAAGTGTAAATTGTAACGTATATATAAATAATTTCATTTTATAGAAGCATCGTTTGAAAACGAAACAGGTTCCGGCGATATCTTAAGCAATACAGCTCAAGTTTTAAATTTCACTGAAGTTTCTCGACTGGATAACTTTACCGTCGAAGAAGAATTAATATTGTTAATTGCAAATTCTTCGGAGGTACCAAAAGATGAAATAAATAGAAATGTGACTGATATTATATCTAACAATACGAGTTTTCGAACTCAGGAAACATATAATCGAAGTGGGGAGGGTACAACAACCCATTTTAATTTTTCACTTCCGGAACAAGAAACCAACCATTCGCATACCAATGTCTCTACTCTTCGAAGGAATGTGTTGGTGCTGAAATCAAATTGTTCCGTTGAAAATTCCGATGAATTCACATCGCGTTATCTCACAAAAGTCGGCTGTATCTTGTACATAAACGTAAATTACATTTCAGAAAATGGTTCCGAAGCGATGATTGCCAAATTAATCCAAGAATTAAAACCGCTATCGATTAGAAGTGGAGAATTCGATATAGTCGAAAGTTATGAAGCCGAAAAAATTCCCGTTAATGAAGATGAAATTCCTGCCAGCTTCTTGGACCGAGAGACATTAGCTTATTTAGCTGTGGCCTGTTCTTTTGCCACGGTGCTCTTGATAGCCTGCATAATCTTTGGTTTGAGGTGCGCGAAAAAGAAAAAGCCAGTCTTTGATATATCGACGTTCGACGTGAAATTATCGGATTACACTCTGACAAGAATACCTAGAGCTAGTTTGTCGTCTACGGAATATTTACACGATCCCAAATTATTAGAGAAGACCAAATATTCTATTCCCAGAGAAAATTGTGAATCTTCCAAATGTTCCACTGGAGAACCTTCGATGAATGACGGTCTACAAGATAGATTTCCATCTACGAGAGAATTTAAAACTTTTAAATCGGGCAGAGTAGTGGAATTATCTGGAAATCATAGCGACGACAATATAAATTTTAATGCCGCTTATGAAAATCCCACTTTTCAAAGATATTTTTAAACGGAAATATTTACAAGAAGTACATAGCAAAAGTAAATTTTAAAATCTGTTAACATTTATTATATATAATAAATGAATTTTAGAATATTCTTTTTTTATATTTCAGAATTCTTATCTTTTAATTTAGAAAATAAGTTTAGGCTTTACTTACGAATCGATTATCGGATGACAAAAAAATACCCCCAATGATGTATTATGATCGATATCATATTGATTAATAGAACTGTAAGAGATAGGATCCGGTTACAAAATGTTTTTCGTTTACATCAAGAGATGTCGCCTTTAACTTGTTCAGTAAAGTAGTGACTTCCATGAGAAAATTTAATATAATCCACGCAACTATAAAGAAAAAAAAACAAATTTAAGTTTTAATATATTACAGCTATCCTCGGAATTAGTTTTTTTAAGTAAATTGATGACATTACGGGCCATAATTAAATTTGTCAGCTCAGAATTATGTATAATTATGTCGACGTTAATTAACAGTAATTTTAAATCGAACTTTGCACAAAAAAAACGTGAAAACTTGTTGAAAATTACATGCCTGTAATCCCATCTACGAATGCGATAGCATCAGATTGTGATTACTATTGCTTGATAAATGGAATAATAAGAGAGCATTGTTCAAATTCTTCATTCGTTCCAGCAATTTAAACGCCCACGAATATTTAATAAGAATTCGTAATTTGTGGAATCAATATAGGTGAATTAATTGTGGAATTTCTTTTTTTAAAAAAAAAATTGGCATTCGTTCAAAATAATAACCTACGTGAAAGAATTAATGGCGCCTAATTTCCTATTCTGAACTATAAAGCTTTTTAAACTGCTATCTATAGCAGTTTAGAAAGAGAAAAATATTCTTTAAAATAGGGGGAAATTTTATTATTTCAAATATTTCTTTTTCGTAATAATTACTAGGAAATATTAATAAATCGTTTAAGTAATCATACACTAGAATATACGAATTGTATGGGTTTATTCTAAAAATTTCCTTAGTGGACTATACAGAGATAAAAACTAGATAATTCATTACATTATTAATCTGATATAATACATATTTTATATATAGTTTAAGGTAATTCTCATTATTAAATTATTTGAACATAAAATTGTTATACGAAGTAACTGAGATACTATAAAGAGAAAACAAATGGTTAAATCGAACTATTTTAAATTCTATTTTAACCATTACTAAATGTTTTTTTTTTTTTTTTTTAAATTTTCCAAATCATTCTCATTATGTAACAATTTAAAAATAAGCTGATGCTTATTTTTTACATATTTTCCTAATTTCATTTACTGCAGAGGGAAAGTTTTTATATCGAGTAATTTGAATATATTTGCTATAAGAAATAAGAAAAGTTTAGTGGAATATATATATATATATAAAAAAAAACTTTTTATTACTGATTTCTATTTTGAATTTATATGTGAGTTATATCTTTTTTTTAATCTATCAAGATGAAATTGCGAACATTTAAGAGTTCAACGACCTTCGGCTAGGGTTTTGCGAGAAAATCTTGAAAGTGTTATAGAAGCAAATTTTATTTATGAACCACTTGTGAAAAGAAACGTATACTTAATTTTATATAATTTGTTTAGCGCTTAAGGAACTTGTGGTTTAATATTCTAGAGAAGTTTCGCTTCTTTTGATGAATGCCGTAATATTCGGATATGGCCATCTCTGATGCCAATCTGGCAAGGGAAACGAAAGTTTAATTAAACTTAAAAACTTTGAAGTCTTAAAACTTTTAAATGCGAGGAAAGCAACTACTTTAAGTAACAAACACCATCCATCTTTTATATAGGGGGAAATCAGAATATTCATTAACTGTTCACCAAACTGAAGGTGTATTTTTAACAGGCTGAGTCTTTTTTTTTTTTCGTTTGCGTATTTTTATTAAAAGTTTCTAACACATTTAAAAATTAAATAAGATGAACAGATACGGACAATGTGTTTTTAATTATGTATACTGTACGTGGGCGTCTACAAACGGGGACAAGCGGGGTACTTTACTGTCCCTGGAAATCGGGTAAAAAATTTCGCAAATTATAATTTTAAAAGTGATTGAGATATGTAACCTTACGGCTATAGGGTGCTTTGGCTGTCTTTGTGTTCTATAATGTACTTGTAGGAAAAAAACGCAAAGTTAAATAATTAAACGAGCAATTATTTATTGTGGCATCGTCATAATGATGGGCTGCAATTTATAACCATATTTTTAATTTATTTAAAATATATGCTCTCCATCTCAAATTAGTACTATCTTATCCCTGTAAATCATACTTTTCCTGCTACCAATAGTCATGGCTGTTATCTATATAACTCATTTTAGGAGAAAAGTTTTGAATTGAAATCATATGACTTCTGGTCTATACCGGATGTTCGTATATAGTTAATTGAGGCTTCCTGTCCCTAAACTTTCCATATCTGGTCTCGACGTTCATCTAACTCTCTTCTCGAGATTAAGGAATGACAGACGGACAGATGACAATGGAAATTTATAGGTCTACAATTTTTTTCAGATTGCATCCCAATAAAAATGTATTGATGTAATTATGTCTCCAAACTTTGCCCTAGAAAATTTTTCTGCATACGCCTATACAGATAGATTACAGAAATACAATATGAATTGTTGTTACACTGTTTCTGTTTGAGCTTTCATTACGAATTATTTCGACGATCATCTGTTATTATTTTGACACTACGAAAAATACAATTGTAAATGCTTACAATTATAACTATATTGAAAAATTTAGAGATGATAGCTTCTACAATCGAACCAAGTACAGGTAATAAGTTTCCAATTTAGAGGCTGTCAGTAAATTACGTTCATATTTTTCTTGAAATTTTTATTCCTCTTCCTCATTGTCCCAGTTTGTCCAAGTTTTCGTAACCTCCGCCCTTCTTCCAAAAAAACTCAACCCTTCCCAAAATGATTAAAAATTGCAGCCCGGCAAACTGTATAAAATTTAATCATATTTTAAATTTAAAATATATGCTCTCCATTTCAAATTAGTGTTGGCTTGCCCCTGTAAATCATACTTTTCCTTTAACAATAGAGTCGTGCCGGTCATCTATTAATTGCTTTAGAGGGAAAGATTTGAATTGAAAAACCCTGACTATCGGTTTGCATCGGAAGTTCATATATAGTTAGTTGGGGCCTCCTTTCCCTAAAGTTTTCACATCTGGTCTCGTCTTTCATCTATCTGACTCTGTTCTAGAGATTAAGGAAAGACGGACAGACAGACGGACGACAGTGGAAATTGATAGATCTACAATTTTTTTTCAAATTGCAGCTCAATAATACAAATTGTCATTCTGCTTGTTTTTGTTAATCACATTTGAATGGTCCCAAATATACTGAAATTCGTATAAAATTGATTATTATTTAACCTTATAAACTTAAAATATCAATCTAATGAATAAAAAAGTTGAAATTAGACCGATAATCTTAGACTCAGGAAGTATTCTTGTTTTTTTTGGGCAATAGTAATTCCAATATGACTTGTAGATAAACATCAATAAACTTGCCTATTATTGTTATATACAGGTAGTGCGTTTATTGGTGTTACATTGAACATTGTTATACCGTGCCAATAACAAGCGTGTCGATTGTTGGGGCTCGAAAATATTTTAATATACTAGTTACGGCTATCGTAAGTCGGGGAATGACTTTCTATCTGAAAAGTATGTATCCTATACATCCCAACACGCTGCAAGTAACTTATAATATTTTCTCAGGAAATCCCACCGGAAGTTATTATCATTGTTAAAATAATATGTATTATTATATATTTTATATAAGTTACATATTTTAATAACGGAAGTTTCTAAAACGAAGTGAAGTAAAATATCAAGTACTTCAGTATCGAGATACAAAAATTGCGTATCAAATAACGTCATTTTTGCCATATTTTTTATACAGTCCACGAGTTTAAATTTTACATAGATATTTCCGTGTTTGTCGTTACTTATAAATAAATTTTTGTTTTTTATTTTAAAAAATTATTTAATCATTTAACTTCAAAATATTCTGTTTTCTTTGAATGAATTTTACTATGAGTTAATAATGTAAGAGTTATCCTAACACAAATCTTAATTACATGATTTTATTTTGGAAACAATAATGTCAATTATGATATGAAATTTTCAGTAAAAACATTTAAAGTCTTTTTTTTTAAATNAGTATACAGTATTTCAATTAATATCGAACTTCTTTTTGTACAAATCGAACAAAACATAAAGCATTATTTTAAGTTTTACCTAGACGTTTCCTTCATATAACAAATAAATAAATAAATAAATGTTTATACGAAGTAATTTAAAAGAAATGAGATGATAAAAATTTTATACAAGAAAACAATACGAAGAAATCTAGTCATATCTTTGAAACTTTAATGCTTTCACCTCTTGGCAATGTGTTTTTTTTAAATATTGTTTTCAAATACTGTATTTTACATTGTTTAAATTTTAAATATATTAAAAATAGCTTGTTTGAATTGTAAAAGTTTTGGCACGCATACATTTTTTAAGGGTAAAATATATACCTATTTTGGCACGCAGATTCAAAAATTCGTCATGGTAGGCTTATGACTGTAGCTATATATATATACAGTATATATAAAAAAATCGTTTTATATGGTTTTTATAACTTATAACTAAAAATTATAACTATTTATATGATTTTTAGAGCCTACGTGACCTATCTCACTTGTCAGGTATAAACTTCTAGCATAAAAGGTGAATAAATCAGACTGTCATGCCAAGTATGCGAAATAAAAATTTGCTCTTATTATATTAGCAAAATTTGTTTTTGCACTTAAACATTATCATTTTTAAAATGGAAACATGCCAATTATTTTTTTTATTTCTTTGTTGAATTGCAAAAATTTAGACCTATAAATTTCCCACTGCCGTCCGTCTGTCTGTCTTTCCTTAACTTCGAGAATGGAGTTACACAGATGAAAGCCAAGACCATATACGAAAGCTTAGGGGTAGGAAACCCCGATTAAATATATACGAACTTCTGATGTAAACCAGAAGTCACGTTATTTTAATTCAAAATTTTTTCCCGAAAGGAGTTAGATGTCCGACATGACTCTATTTATAAATATATACCGGTAATAATAATAATATTT